GCTGCCCAGCTCCCTGCCTCGCACTGTGATATCCCCAGCAAGCCAGGCTGCCTGGAGGCCGAGGCTTGCACTTTGCCCTCTCTGCCAGGGCTCTGAGCAGGGGCGTGCCCAGTTAGACCAGGGCAGTGGTCCCTAGGGCGAGACCATTACAGAGAAAACACATGAAAACAGTAAAGTCCCTATCCCCTCGTTACAACGCCCACCACAGGTCACCCGCACTCCAGTCCTGAGCTCTGGTAGGTTTTAGTCCTTCACAACCTACAGGGTTATCTCTGCGTCTGTCTTAGACCCAGAACTGGGCAAATCATTCCATAGTTCGGTTATGCATGTACCAGCCATCGTTAGCAAGCCAGCTTAGCCCCTTCAGAACGCACAGCCCACCCCCCACCAGCCTGTGTAGTGTCTCCCATTAGAATATCTGGGTCTGAGCTGCCTGCTGCTCCTGCTTATCCATGTTCCCTCAAAAACTTTGGGTGGAAACTTGAAACCTGCCTTCCCATTCCCACAGTCAGACGCCCAGAGCTTTTGTTAGCATCCATATTGACTCCGGCTACCAGCAGAGCAGGGAGAGGCACCCCCATCTGATTGCCTTCTAGCCCCCAGCGTTCTGAAGGACTAAAACCTACCGGCGCTCAAGGCCGGAGCTGGGGTGAGTGCTGGTAGGCTTCTTAGCATGCCGCTCATACTGCCTTCTAATTAAACAAGTGCGCTTGCCTCGCAGCTGGGTGGTACCTTGTACCCGTGGGCAATACGTGGGCAGAGTCTGGGTTGCTGGGGACACTGCAGTGTGAAGCAGGGAGCTGTGTGGTCACAGTCCCGGTCAGAATGGAGTGAGGTTCGGGTCTCTACGCAGGAGAGGAGATGGCTGGCAGCGGGTGCCCTGGAGGGGTCGCAGCCGCCCCACAGAGGTGCAGTTATCCTGAAGCTGTGACAGCCCATGTATCTCATCACCCTGCCCTTGAGCCAAGGTATGGTGGAGTGGCCCAGACATCTGTCCTGTCCTTCTGCCATGCCCATCCTACCATCTTTGGCTGTTTAAAAGGAAAGTTTTAACTGAGGTTTTCTTCTGGCAGCTCTCCTCAGCCGGTAAAGAGGCAGCCACGTCGGTGCACGTATCTCTGCACTCGTGTCTGTGCAGGGGACAGAACGTGATAAACAGTGTGTGTCAGGCAGGCCGGGGGAGGGTACAGACACCCCTGCCACATACAATGTCCCACGGGATCAAGCAGCTGTGAGGCAACACGCCCGGGGAGCCGAACTGTCCCTCCGCACTTGAGGAAGGGACGAGGGCGCTGTGCCCGCCCTACAGTCACTCGCTATTTTGTGGCCCCCCATGCTGTTGCCTCAGGTCTTAGGGAGTCAGTGCCGCTGAGCCGTAAGGGGCTTGTCCAGTGGCCCTTCTCTGCAGTATGAATAGCCATTTGAAGGTCATCTACTCAAGCATGGGTTGCAGATTCCACATGGCCCCTCTTGTTTTCAGCCTGCTTCTTCCTCTCCTATGTAGAGTGAGTCTTGGCCATGCTAATTCACTCGCATGCGGCTCCTTTCGCAGTCGATTCCTCCAGCTGGCCCCAGGCATGTCTGCCTGTTCTAGCAGGCCCTGGAGCTGGCCTGGAGCACTGCCCTGCCACTGGACGGCATGCGTAAATGCCCAAGGACAGTTGTCCCAACTGACACATTCTGATATGTATTGTAGCAAATCTGTGCCCGCAACAAGAACACCACCCACATGCCCTTTACCGGACAGAACTCAGACTGGGGCACCAGACATCCTAATACGATCGGTCTGTCCTGATAATAGAAGCTTTGTCATACATAGGCAACTATTAGCCCCCTCACCCCGTCCCCATTGGTCACACTAACCCAGACCCTTCCTCTTTGAGGGCAGAGCAGCTGAAGGAGACTACTGGAAAAGGTAATAGACCCCAATAGAGGACAACAAAGTCCTCACAGCTGGTGGGTTCTCTGGCCAATGACACGTACACCACTAATCTCTAGGTGACCGCACAGGTGCTGGTCTGTTCCCCATCCCAGAAATCATTCATTCACATACATGAAATGCAGCACACGTGTTTGCACCGGAAAGCTCCATTATGTTTCATTATGACAGAGTATGCAGTTTCACGCATCTAATTCGTAACCTGTTCTGCTAGCCCATTCTTCTCTTTCCTCACCTGCTTTATCTCCTTGCTCCTTCCCCCGTCCCAAACCCTTTCCCTGTTTTCACTCTCAGGACCATTTTCACCAAGTTCCTCACTGATCCCTTGTCTCCTTGCTTTGTTCGTGATAGCTCATTAAAAAAAAACCAGGAATGAACATTAAGGCAGAGTTAACCTTCAGGTATTGTTTAGTGTGTCCTCCATCATTCAATAGGACAGGGACAAGAGAGCAAACATATATGGTATGCACTTTAACAGGAACAGAAATTTGGGAGCGACTATTTCTAGCCACTCACAGTGATTAACAGAGTTGTATAGAAGCAGTAATAATAACTAATTATTAAACCACCAAACCTTTTCCAGAAGTCTAGGAAAGATGGAATAAGCCCTTTAAGGAGCAGTGATTAATAATCTGGTGTGCAACTGTTTGAATCTTTATTTCTCACTTCTATCCCTGTGAAAGCACCTTAAGCCGTCAGTGTGGAGCAGCTATTGGAACCACAAAAAATCCTCTGAGCTTTCAATGTTAACAAAGCAACATTAGGGACATAGGGATTGGCAGACTGACTCAGACCTGAGGTCCGTCTAGTCCCATGGCCTGTCTCTGACATTGGCTAGGACAAGATGCTTCAGAGGAAGATGCAGTCAGCCTTGCATTAGGCAGAAACCCTTCTCGTTCTCTTTCACACCCCTTGTTAACTGCAACTCCAGTTGTGCTTTGGCTTCCTTGATTGTACCCCTGCATGCTCGAGCAATAATTTGATACTCCTCCTTAGTCATCTGTCCAAGCTCCCAGTCACTTCCTGGTTGGGTTTAAGCTCACCAAAGACTTCTCTGCACTCCCAGTAAGGCTTCTTTAAAATACAGCCAGCTCTTGGATTCCTTCCCCCTTCATGTTAGCCTCCCAGGGGATCCTGCCCATCAGTCCCCCTGAGGGAGTCACAGGCTGCTTTTCTGAAGTCCAGCGTCTGCATTTTGTGGCTCTCCTTTCTTCCTTTGGTCAGGATCTGGAACTTTACCATCTCACGATCACTGCTGCCCAGGTTTCTTCTTCGAGCTGGTACTAAGGAAGTGCCTTTACACTGAAATTATGGAGATGGGTTGATTTGGGGTTGATGTGAGGTACCACACATACTGTTCTGAGCATCAACAGTGTAGCTGCTCTTACCATCTCATGATCTTGCTTTCTATTCTTATTCTGATTTCCCTAAGCCATTTGGGCACTTGAGGTAGGTGGAGAAAGGGTCACATTGGGCTTGATTCCAGAACTATTGGGAACCAGTCAAAGTCTTTCCATTTATTTCAATGTGCTCTGGAAATTGTCTGACAATTTTTTTCTGTGGAAAAACATCCACACCGTTTTATGAGAAAGGGGTAGTTTTTGATGAATTCCTGGTTTGGAAAAATGAAGTTATGTCTAGACTGCAGGCTTCTTTCGGAAGAAGCTTTTCCGGAAGAAATCTTCTGAAAAAGCTTCCGAAAGAGAGTGTCTACACAGCAAAAGCACATTGAAAAAGCGATCTGCTTTTTTGAAAGATAGAGTCCACATTGATTGGACACTTATCTTGCATGTCAGCTGTGATTACTATGGACGGAGTGGCCACCAGGGCACCTATGCTTTTTCCTGGAGGCCTCTCATTTTGAAAAAAACCCTCTTCCCCATCCACACATGCCTTTTTCCGAAAGAGCTCTTTCGGAAAAAGGCTTCTTCCTTGTCGAAAAAGGTTTACCACTGTCGGGAAACCCCCTGCATTCTTTTGACTTTCTGTTGAAAGAACACAATTGCAGTGTGGACGTAAGTGTAGTTTTTCCGGAAAAATGGCCGTTTTCCCGCGAAAACTCTGAAGTGTAGACATAGCCTCAGAGAGAGAAAGTACGCATAGCGTTCTCTGGCTGTATTTCACACTGTAGTTACAGGTAGATGCAGCAATAAAGTTTTGGGTCATTCAAGCACCAGAAAGTTCAGATAAACAAACTAGGACTGGCAAGGATCACTTTTGAACTTCTTCCTGGCTTTTGTCAGGTGGGTGATGGTCTTAATGGTGTGTGGGGGGGGGATCAGAAAAAAATCATTTCTGGGCGATGGTAGAATCACAGACACGACGATAGCCCCTTGTGCTAGGTGCTGTGCATGCTCCTAACAAGGTGCTGGTCCCTGCCCCAAAGAGCGTACAGTCTAGGGGTGAAACAAGGAGCGACGAGCCTACAGAACGAATGGCGGGGGAGGGTGACATGGAGGTGCTGTGAGCTGCGTGGTGCTTTGCAAGCTAAGAGCTCAAGGCGCTGTGCAGATGTAAACGCCATTAGCCTGGGTATAGAGAGGAGAGAGGTTCTGAGGCCTGCCCTAGGCGATGCTGTGGGGCCTTCTTGGCATCAGTGTCTAGAACTTTACCTGCGCCATCCCCTCCAGCTTTTGGAAAGCCTGCCCAGAAGTTCCGCTGCACCTCTTGCCCTCAGCTTAGCCAAGCTGGGGCAGGCCGGCCTGCGGGGGAGGGCAGTTGCCTCAAGGCCTGGTGATTATAGCAGCAGTGGCAGCTGGAGCCCTGCGCCCCTTTGAATTGCTGCCAGAGCGCTGCTCTGCACGGCTCTGAGGGCTGGGATTGGGGGGGGGGCGCTGTGGTCTGGGCGGCACCAAGGGGTGACTGCTCTCAGCCTCACCTCCCCACACACACTTTGCCCCAAAGCCTGGGGGGGCTGCCAGCCCCAGGGCAACTTAATTCCAGTGGGGAGGCTCAGCATGACCATGAGCCCCCTGCAGTTTCTCCTGAGGGCCTTCGTGTTGCCTGTCCCGGTGAAATCAGAGAATCACACAACACTAGGACTGGAAGGACCCTCAAGAGATCATCAAGTCCAGTCCCCTGCCCTCATGGCAGGACCAAGCACCATCTAGACCATCCCTAACAGGTGCCTATCTAGCCTGCTCTTAAATATCTCCAGAGATGGAGATTCCACAACCTCCCTAGGTAACTTATTCCAGTGTTTGACCACCTTGACAGGCAGGAAGTTTTTCCTGATGTCCAACCTAAACCTCCCTTGCTGCAGAAGGAGCTGGATCAGGCCCAGCATGAGGAACCTGAGGAAAATCAAAAGGGAAACTCTATCTACTTACTTTGTTTTTTAACAAGTGTCCCACTCCCCATCCCCTTGGGAGCCAGGTGGACCATACAGCCGACAATAAGAATTGCATGAGGTATTGCCTAGACTGCAGAACATATTTAACTCACCTCACCAGCATGTGAGGCTAAGTTTTCCTGTCACGTTA